TCTCCATGCGGAATCGCTACGGGCCAGAGATATACCATCATGTACAACATTCATCGTCAGGTGTATACAAATCGGGAGTCTTTTCCAAATGTCCCACGCCGGGTCACTCAGCATGTCTTGATCGGCTTCCTGCCGACGGTAGTTTACAGTTCAGCGACTTTTCCATCCAGTAAACTAAGATGCCTCCTCACTGAAAATGGATATTTGGTTATTGGAATTGAGAAATGGTAGCCAATGATAGTTGTCTAATCTTTCACGTATTGTCGTAAGGTTTTTTCAATCATCACTTTTTCCCTTATGAACAAGAATTTTTTTGCTCTCCCGTAAAAAAGATGTTTAAGCTGACGATGCAGTACCTATTTTTAAAGCTATCACGAACAACTTGCTTTTTTTGCTATTTGGGAATAGTACATTTATCATAAAAGTTCCATTAGTACAGCTGTAGCCGCAATTTAATATAATACACAAACATGCCAAGCTTACAGCTTCTTCAAGTTCACCGAGTTCGAGTTAGCAGGGTTCTACCGTATTCTATAATCATCCGAATATACTTTTATTTCCTGAATTTATGGAAGAAGGCGGCAGCTTAGGTACGTCTTCTCCATCACCAACTTCTGTTTATTTAGTTTTTAGGTAACGATATCAATACGATCATTTATGCGTAAATTTCTAACTTAGTTTATTTTCCCTTTAAATTTTATGGTGCTGGTGAAATTTTTGTTGCGTCAGGTCGTAACCTGTAATACTCAAGAATTCAAAAAGAGGAAAGAAAGTGATCGTGAAGAGAGCAAAGAACTTGAAGGAATATATGCTTGGAACTATTTCCCATGCTTTTCAGTTTGATTCATTGGTTAAGGGTTACAAAAATTGTACAGTGTTAGATTGACAACCCAGTTAGTGGTGCCTTTATAAAAAGCTACACAGGATCTGCAATGAGCAATCTGACCTAGTCCTTCCAAGTGTGAGGTCATACAGTTGTTTAGTAATAAAGAAGGTAAAATTTCAGAGTAAACTTTGATTTCTTCTTAAATACTTAATAATATTACGCAGTATATATATCTTATTAGACGTTTTGATGTATAGTATCACTGAGTATTTTTACAAGTTGTTTGTATCTTGTATCGTGTTTTTTGTGTTGTATGTTGTATTTTGTGTTGTATGTTTTACTTTGTACTGTATTTTGACTCGCCCTGAGTGCTCATCAAATACGGCACAACTTGTAAAAATACTCAGCAACACTACTCAACAAAAATGCTAATTAGTTATTTATTATCGAACTGCTTTATTCTTTATTCACTTCATCTTCGGGAAAAGCGAAACAAACAGAGAAACAGTTCGTGCAGGTCTTGCGTAATTCTCGCGTCAGATTGGCTCATGAGAGGTCAACTTTTGTCATGTAAGTTTTCTAAATGATTAAAAGTTGAATTTTGTTTCCGATCGTTGTTTTCAAATCGTACACATTTGAAAGTACTGCAGGTACAAAAGTGTTCGTTGATCAATGAAAAGTAATGACTAATTTATCGCCCGTAACAAAGCTTTGAATCTACTCTCAAAGACATGGATGAGCTCTAAGCAAACAAAAAAGATTGCCAAACCTACATTTCATTTTCATCATCCGACTCAATCACATAGCGACGACGCTTCGCAGGAATCGCCGCCGGTACTTGAGGAGCTTAAAGCCTGTGAGCCAAGAGTAATGGTACACGAAACTGATGTGGATCCTCAGTTTTCCTTAGAAAAAATGTATGGCCAACAATGTCATATTGACAGCACTCATGGCCCCGAATGCTCTAAAATAATGGAATCTCTATGCATAATGACATCACTAGGAAGGGATCTATTATTTGTAAATACTTAAGTTGACCGGTGAACGCAAAGTGGCAACACAATAAGAATTCAGTTATTTCATGGCTATTGCTCCGAAGTATTGGAGTCACCTTAAGCGTAATACTTGAGCGCTGCAGTTTTCTTTTAGAAATGAACATTGAAGCTTCAATTCATCCCAAAACAGTTGGGAAATTCTGAGTGCTTTAAAGGGTCGCGTTAATTTCTTAAAGTGATGTCTTACAACGAATTTTGTTCGACGTTAATTTATTAATTCCCTGGTGTGTCATTTACCAATTAAGGTCATGAGATCGCGCAAAATATGCCACGGTAAGATAATTTACTGTCCTGGTTTGACCAGTTTATTGCAATACAGACGGAAAAGACGAAACCAATAGTGACCGCACTTGACGAGCCTTCTTTTTACTTTTTTGAGTCCTTTGGACTTGAATTTTTAAATGACGAGCTCCTAACAAAAACAGATTGAATAACAGAACAGACAGAAAGCGGAAAAGTAAACGACGAAACCATTGACAATTTTATTACTGTAAACAAAAACAAAAGCACAATCAAAAAGACTCAAAAAGACCTACACGAGTTTTACTGATGGGCAAAATCTGTGAACGAAACGAGAACTCTTGATAACATACCAGGAAAAGAACTGGACAACTTTTGGCTCACTTTTTGAAAACATAGGTAAACAAAACGGGGACGAATATGAACCTAATACGCTTACTAGTATATTACGTAGTTTCGATCGCTTCTTAAGAGACAAAGAAAATATTTCAGTATACTTACGGACATACAGTTCGCAGAAGTGAAAGAAGCTCTTTTCTTCAAAGCGGAAACTGCTCAGCCGTACTGGCAAATGCCAAAAGCGAAGCTAAGCCCTCGGATCAAGCTCAGCTCAGCTTAACAAGCCGCGGGAGGAGAAACAACATGAATGCCATACACCACAAAGCCTGTTACGCACAGTCTGTTTTCAAAAAATCTTATTCTTTGGCTAGAGAGCTAGTGACGAACATTACCGAGTAAAATTTGGAGACGTAAAGATAGTTACGAAGACGGCTTCCAAAGAATAAAGCATGTGGAGTGGCTAACTGTACGTGGGAGCAAGACTCGCACTAGAGAACACAAATTTGTTCCTGACCGCATGTTCAATCCCAAAATGTACGCTACTGGCGGACCTCGTTTTCCTGTGAGCATCTTTAAAGAATATCTGACAAAACCACCGCCTGAATAAGCCATGGCAGATTCCCTGTTTTATCTGGAAACCATTGTTCAGCCATCATGACATCATCTGGTTCAAGAAACAGCCTCTAAGGAAAAAATTCGCTTGTTTCATTTATGAAATCTATGAGTGATTCCGCCGGATTAACAGGCAGACACACCAACCATTCCGTCCGTATGACGATGATTTCAACACTGAGAAAGGAAAATGTAATCGCTTTAGTTGCCAAAGAAACCTGAAGTCTTAAGCTTTTCAAGCACGTTTACAGAACAGTAGAAGGACATGTCCCTGAAACTCAGCAGCTTCATCGAGTCAAGTGAAGCACGCAAGAAATCTGTTGATCAAAGCCAACTATTAACACTAAGAATTGTTCCACAGCGAGATGAAAATCCAGTAGGCAAAATATGTTTACTGGAGAGCCGAGGTCGTAAACAACTGTCAGTTTTTTTTACAACTTCTGATACCATTGGGCTCCTGTACTGGCTTAGCTGGTGACAATGCCACAGTTCCACACAAGAAATGCAAGAGAATTTCACTGATCACAGATGGCGATGATGAACGGTAATGAACCTTTGTTATCTGTCGTATTGGAATTGAGTTGGCATTACTTTCATGATTTTGAGATTTTTTTGATATCGTTACCTATTTGTATCGTAAAATTTCAAAGCTTTGCCTCTAATAGAAAAGTTGTATCTGACAACATGCAAGCTCGAAAACTGGTTTTTTAGATCATATCTCATTTTTTATCCAGCTTTCTGCATCATCCAAGGAAATCAAAGACAGGCAATGACTTTCTGTGTTGTTTACGTCATTCACACGCGCCATTTACTGATGTACAGGGAACTCAAGGTAGATTTTAACGTTCTTACCCGAGAAAAGGAAACCGAACAAGCAAAATATTTTGAAGTATTCGAAGTGTTAAGAGTCTATCCACGAGAGGATCGGACGAGCGTGACACATGTCATCTCACCGATTTCTTTCAAACTTTTACAGTTTATGAGGGTTAATAAGTTATTCAAGAATCCAGAGGTGTTTCGGGTTCCCGGCTAATCCTTGAGGTATTTGAGCCCTCACATCAAATCCCTGGGGTAAAAGGTTAAAGTTAGTTTGGAAAATACACTTCCAACGAATCTCTTCAGACAAACAGAACGCGATGAATTTTAATCTTATTTTGTCCAGTGGTTGTTTGAACCTTAAGGAATACCAATTTAGAGCAGTTAATCATTAGCTGTGTCACGCAACTCTTCCAAAAAAGAAAAAACTAGGGTTTTAAATCACAAATATCTCCAATAGGCAACATTGTATGTTGACAAACATACCATCACAGGAAACAACTCTGTTGTATTTTGTATTTTGTGCTGTAAAATTCGGCACAACTCGTAAAATACTCGGCGATACTACACACCAAATCGTCTAATACGATATATATATATATATGTTTCGATAGGGGGAAAAAGCAGAGAGACTATACTTTCATCTCTACAAGCCTGTTTCGTGATTGCTCACTCATCAGGGGATTTTATTGTTAAGAATATTCGTACCATCGTTTCTCCACTTTATAAATTTGCATAAAAATAATACTTCAATTGTTACGCAGTAACGTTTTGTTTCCGTGGCGGCATGAGGACACGAGCTCATTACGTTTATTGAGTGATGATAATTAGAGGCAAAGGTTGCATCTTTTGCTTGCGCTGTTGTAGGGCGATCTTGATGAAAGGATGCGCCATGACAGACCAAAGGGTCCAGATGAAAGTATAATCTCTCTGTTTTTTCCCCTATCGCAACATATATCGCGCATATAAACATATCGCGCTCTACTTCTACATATCAAACACTGTAAAACAGAAAAATCAATACACAGACTTCCTATATATATATATATATATATATATATATATATATATATATTATTAAGTATTTAAGAAAAAATTGAAGTTTTCTCTGAAATTTTTACCTTCTTTATTACTAAACAACTGTATGACCCTACAGTTGGCATGTCTAGTTCGGATTGCTCATCGCAGACCTGTTTGGCTGTTTCTCAAGGTTCCACTCACTAGGTTGTCAATCTAACGCGGTACAATTTTTATAACACTTAACCAATGAATCAAACTGAACTAAAAAACAAAGGAAATAGTTCCAAGTTTCAAGTTATTTGCTCTTTCCACGATCACTGTCTTTTCCCTTTCTAAATTCTTGGGTATTACAGGTTTCAACCTGACGCAACAAAAATAACGCCAGCACTATAAAAGTCATAGGAAACTTATCGTCGGACTTGAATCAAGTTACCTAAGCTACCGCCTTCTTCAATAAATTCAGAAAATAAAAGTATATTCGGATGATTATAGAATACGGTAGAACCCCGCTAACTCGAACTCAGTGAGCTTGAAGAAGCTGTAAGCTTGGCATGTTTGTCTATTAAAACAAGTTGCGGCTACAGCTGTACTAATGGAACTTTTATCATAAATGTACTATTCCCAAATAATAAATAAAACAAGTTGTTCGTGATTTCTTTAAAAATAGTTACTACACTGTCAGCTTTAAATATATTTTTCACGGGAAAGCAAAACAAATCTTGTTAATAAGGGAACAAAGTGATGATTGGGAACATCTTACGACACTATGTCAAAGAACAGAAAACTATATATTGGCTACCATTTCTCAATTCCAATAACCAAATATCCATTTTCAGTGAGGAGGCATCTTAGTTTACTAGATGGAAAAGTCGCTGAACTGTAAACTACCGTCGGCAGGAAGCTGATCAAGACATGCTGAGTGACCCGGCGTGGGACATTTGGAAAAGACTCCCGATTTGTATACACCTGACGATGAATGTTGTACATGATGGTATATCTCTGGCCCGTAGCGATTCCGCATGGAGAGTCCTGGGTTACGAAAAGCATTCAACCACATACCAGCAAACTTGACTTTTGTTGGCTTTTTACCGCTTGCGACAAGTTCCGCGCTCTGAAAGATATCGTGACCATAAAGTTCGAGTTTCCATCCGTTTTTATATAGTAAAATAGCACCCAAGACCTTATGACCGTTCCTCCATCCCTCTGTTCTTTCTGAAATAACTCTGTAACCGGCCGCTTTAAATCTTGGAATAAGCCCGAACATAGCCGTAAAGTTATCATTAGGGAAGTGAATGTCTGCATCAACCTCCCACGGTAAAACTCTCTGGAACTTAACAGCACCTAGAACAGAAGCAAACTTGGTTCAATGAATTTCGGCAATCAGACATGGTTTGATGCTACTCTGGTTTACAGATTTAATGAATGTAACCGAAGAAGTTACAATTCATGGACCCAACGTTTCGACACTCCTGTCTGGTGCCTTCATCAGGGGTGATCTAAACGCTGCAACAAGAGGTCCTTTTATATGATTGCTAATTAGCGGCCTTTTTCTGACGAGGTGTAGATAGGCGTCAGGAAGCTAACCGCCATCGTCACGATTTAAAGGAGCGTGGGCGGAGTTAATATGCCAAGCCTCCAAACAGAGGCGCTGGTGGTAACGCCGATTAGTGATGATAATTTTAGAATTATCCCACGCAATTGTATGGTTAGTTAGGCATGTGTGCTCCGATAAAGCTGAATTTTCCTTTTTGCAAAAGAAAACCGCTTTTTGATGCTCTTTTAAACGTGTACCAAACAGACGTTTGGTCTGTCTGATGTATTCGTTGTGGCTATTCAAAATTCTCTTGATGGGTTCCGTAACACCCTGAATGTAAGGAATAACAGCAAAACCAGTCGCTGGTTTCCTTTCATCAAGAGGGTTACTAGTTGTAACTGGTTTTTGGCAGTTACGGAGAAAGGTTTTTGTATAGCCATTTGCCTTTAGGACATTAGAAACATATTTCCTCTCCCCAGCCTTCGAATCGAGTGAAGATGGTAGACAGTCAGCACTCTAAGTAAAGTTTTGGCTACAGACTTTTTATGGCAAATAGGGTGGTGAGAATCGAAAGCGAGGTATTTGTCGGTGTGGGTAGGTTTACGGTAGACACTTGTCTCTAAAATACCCTGAACCCCTCTGGACACATTTAAATGAAGAAAGGACAAATGTCTATCCTTTTCACGCTCAAGGGTGAATTGGATCGACGGCTCTACTGAATTCAAATGCGACAGGAGGCGCTCCGCCTCATTTCCAGATACCGCAGAAATAACATCATCGACATATCGTTTCCAAAAAAAGGGTTTAACCGGTGAAGTGGCTAAGGCCCTTTTTTCCACATCTTCATTACCATGTTAGCAATGACAGCAGAGACGGGCGAACCCATCGCTGTACCCAAAACTTGTTGATAGTAGGTGCCATTATATGTAAATTGCGTGGTTTTGAGGCAGAAAGACAGCAGATGAATAATATCCTCTACAGGCAAAGAAGTTTTTTGTCCTAGGGAAGCATCTTCTCTAAGTCTCTCCTCCGCAACCTTAACGGCAAGATCAACTGGGATTTTAGTGAAGAGCGAAACAACGTCGAAAGATACTAATTCTTTACAAGCGTTAAGAGTTTTATCTCTTATGAAATCCGCAAATTCGCAGGATTTTTTGACAGTGTAATCAGTATTCCCAACAACAGGCGACAAAATTCTCGCAAGAGAACCAGAAATTGCATAAGTCGGAGAATTAACAAAAAAGAGACAATGGATCTCAAAGGAATTCCTGGTTTAAGAATTTTAGGTAAGCCATAAAAACGTGGACATAAGCCGTTACTACTGTATAACATTTTGTACGTAGAGTCACCAATTTTACCAGCTTTTTTTCAAATAAAGCAACATTTTGTTTAACTTTCTTTAAGTTTTACTGGTAGGATCAGAGTTTAAGACAGCATACGTACTTTTGTCGTTAAGCAGAGACAGAGCTTTGTCGTGATATTGCTGTTTGTCCATAACCACAACACAATTACCCTTGTCAGCAGGTAATACGAGCCTATTCGGATCCTTTTTGAGAGCTATAAGCGCATTGAAAACATCCTTATGAATGTTTTTAGTGGGAGGTTTAGCACGCCTGAGTATGCTGCTTACTTCTGCTCTTACTAAATGCCTACGATCGTCGTTGAGTTGAGAGATACTCTCCTCAACAGCAGCGACAATTTCGGCAGTATTTTGCGAGGAGCACTAGTAAACTTCAGACCCTTCTCTAAACCACTCCGTTCCAGCGCAGATAACTCCTTAAAG